ACCCAGTAATCCAGTGGGAGTTACAAAGACTATGGCTAAAAAACCATACCAAGTAATTCATTGCACCACAAAAAGCTGAACATGCAGCAAGTGAAGGTGACTGTGATGAAGAAATTGTTGCAGATAGGGGTTGGATCAACTGTTTCAAAGTGAGGGAATATTTATATAACATTAAAGCACAGCTTCAAAGACGGTGATACCCACTCAAAGCCGACAACCAACTATGCCACTTTGAATGTGTGTGATTCTCCACAGTCCTGCCTATAATAATCCTGTCTCATGTATCAGGCTCACTATTCCTTTTCTGACTCATTCCAGAGCTTCGACCTATAATTTTTCACATTCTGGTTTCTGTGATGAAACACTAAAATTGTAGCAATTCTAGTCTGTTCCTTTTTCGCTTCATAGGCCATAACAGAACCAAAGCCCTGCATTAAAGTGAAAGTAGACATTATCTGTTAATTGCACATTCATAACCCAGGGACTGCCTGATTGATGTCTAAAGTTATTAGATTCACTGCATTAAAATTCTCTGCTACCAGTTCTCCTCAAAGTTTCTAAGAATGTTCTGTAGCATCAATCTAGTATTTCTTAATTTTTAGGTGGCACTTGACTCAAAGATGGTGACCAATTCAATACTTTGAATGTGTGTACCTCTTAATGTCCTGCCTATAATCCTGTATTTCTCAGTTTTGAGGAGTGCCATTCATCCAAACAGTTACCTTTGTGTGCCCAATTATTCGTATTAGGGATGTGTTAGTTTTTATTACATGTAATTTATTATTCATTTGAATATTAAGCTCAAATGCACTTTTCTTGTTTCAGCACGAAATTATATAGTATTAAATTTGTTCGTCAATGCATGTTTGCTTTTTTCTTGAACATAAAGATATTCTTTGGAGAGATTTTTTTGTTTGCTTTTTAATATCTACTTATACATACATGTTTTAAATATCCACAAATGCACTTAAGTATTGTTGTTGTTGTTATTTGCCATTGAGTCGGACCCGACCCCTCCTTGTGTTTACAAGGTGTTATCACTAGAGAGGTAGATTGCCCAACCTTCCTTTCGAGGAGCGAATGGTGGGTTTGAACCACCAGCCTTCTGGTTAGAAGCCAAGTGTCTTAGGCACTATGCTACCAGAGCTCCTACTTAAGTATTAGATGACAAGATTTTAGGTTATACATTTATTTGATCATTTGCTATCGAGACATAAATTTTCACTTTATAGAAAAAGATTATACAGTTTTCCATTTTATAGATCAATTTAAGGAATATTATTATTATTATTATTTAGGGGAGGTGTTTAATATAATGTCACTTTTTGAAACAGATAGTTCTTTTTTGAAAAAAGATAAGTGAACTATCTCTAAAGTTAAATATTTTTAAAATTGACAAAATCATTCCTAGTAATGTTGATAAGGTCCTTAAGATATGAGATAAATTCTCCATCAATTATTATATTTATTTTAACATATCCTTTAATTTTGAATACTTTTTTTTTGGGGGGGGGGCTTACATAGTGCCTAAGGCATTTGACTGCTAAACAGAAGGCTGGTGGTTCAAACCCACCAGCCACTCCTTGGAAGGAAGATGGGACAATCTACTTCAGTAGAGATACTGCCTCGGAAACCCAAGGAAGGGTCACTATGAGTCGAATCTGACTCGACGGCAGTGAGTTTGTTTTTTGGTTTTGGTTACATAAGAACTTGGGAAGATCAATAAATTGATTCACATTTTTTCCTCTTAAGATTGCTTAATTCATAATATATTGTGTTAAACTTTCCATTATATCCACAACTCAAAATACAAAATATTGGCACTAGAAAAAGAAACAGAGAAAAATAGAAAATAAATGAAAAAATCCTTCTGCAAGTTAGACTTCTTTCTATCTAAAACAAATGTAAAGAAGACATCAAAGTTTAAGCTAGTTGAAGAAAACAGGATCCCAGTATTTAATTGGATTGATCAATATCTGAAGTTTGAATTTATTGCCAACACTCCTCATTCTTTCTCTCCTTGTTTACATGTTTCCTTTTTTTATGCAAGCATTCAGATTTTCATTCTCCTTTTCTAGTACATTCAGTTAAAATGCTACATTTTGCTTAAGATTATGAGTTATAAACCTATCAGATTGATTAAATGGTATGAATCTGTTCTAAGACATAATACAATTATGTTATAATTAATCAGCTATAGAAGAAAGACATTGTTTACTTTAATGGTCTTTCTTTCTCCAAATTTTAAATAAATTTTATTAATCAAGTTTAGTCCTTTGATATTTTGATTATGATATGCTAGCCTACTTATGTCACATTGTTTTATCACTAATATGCTATTATTAATAGTGGAAAATGTTGAAGTGTCATCATAAATGTTGTCTTTTCACCACTAAACAAGCCAATATGAGAGAACACCAACACCAAAGCTAACTCACTGCATTTGAGTTGATTCTAACACATAGTGAACCCCAATGGGTGTCCAAGGCTATAAATCTTTATGAAGTAGATTGCTTCAGCTTCCTCCTGTGGAGCAGCTAGTGGGTTTCAACTGCCAACTTTCTGATTAGCAGTCAGATGCCTTATATATTGTGCTACCAGAGTTCCTTAATATGAGAGAAGAAGATATAAAAGAAAAAAGAGAAGGAGGTGAAGGACAGGAAAGAGAAAAATGTCTAATCTTTCTTTTGATTTATTTCATAGCAATTAAAAAATTTTATCTCCTTTTTTATAACATATAAATGGATAGTTACTTCCTCTGCATTCTATTAGATAATGATTAAATGTTTCATATTTTATTGTATCAATCAATGACCAGTACTTCTAAAGAAAAAAAGTACTCAGGTTAAAGTATTCAAGGTACTAAATCATATAGACATTTGATTCTGATTCATAAAGAAAAAAGTTGCATTTATGTGAATCAATGGACTTGGTATCATTCCACAGACAAGAAAAGGAAATGGGATCTGGGAACTTTCTCTAAATATTAAGTCATGGTGCAAATGCAAATTACCAATCATTTATTTGTTATATCAAAAACTTTGTTCTTTCTGAAGTTCAAAGTCCTAACTTTGTTTAACATTTTAACAGAACTTAATTATCATAAAAAAAGAGCTTAAAGGTGGATCATTTGATATTTAACATCTTTCTTCCAAGTCTATACTTTCTCACCATTTAGAAAAGTTCTGTTCTTCACAAAAAAATTAGTCATTGACATTTTAAAAGGCATTTTTATATAAAAATGGAACATTTGTTCTATAAAATATCAAATATTTGCCCAATGTATGAACATTTCATATCTAAGTATATCTCAAACTGTGGGGAAGATTTAAAGACTGTACAAATGTTTTAAATATTTTTATTTGCACATAAAGTTAAATAAATCACAGAGCTGTTCTCCAAATTAATATCTTACAAAATTATTATGAATTTCAAGATACCTAACTAAAAAGGAGATACTTTTTAAAAAATTAACTCAATCCTTACTTTCATGATAGTTGATATCACTTAAAATTTTACTTCTAATTTAATGACTACAGTTCAATATCCTGAAAGTTCAAAAAGAAAAGAACCTCAAATGTAAAAATTGTTATAGATTTAGATAATGTCAACTGTCTTATAACCTTATCAAGTCTATCTATATTGGATACATAAATATATGCTTTAGAAGGTTTATAATATAAGAATTTCTATTGTTCAAAACTTCTTTTTAATTCATTAATAAATAAAGATTGCAAATTTTTTGTAATTCATAGACATTGTTTAGAGTTCATTACCTTAAATTATTTCTGGAATAAACATTCCTATTATCTGATGCACACATACACTTTGTAAACTCCATGAAAGCAGAGATAGCTTTTTATCTTGCAAAGCAATAGCCATGACTAGACATTGTTGCATATCAATATATATTGGAATGAATGTAAAATCTATAAAGAAGGTCATTTTCAAAGTTATCTTTAAGCATTAGTATATACATATATATGTTATTGTGGTAGTTAAGGTTGTTGTCAACTTGGCTGAGCCTGGTTGAGTGGCTGGGAAGGTGGATGTAGTGATTACCCATGGTGAGATTGGCCATCAGTTCCATGGTGGAATCTCCTGGTGCAGCTGAGTAGCTGCTTTAGGGATGTGGTCTGCTTCCTGTATGTAAGAAGCAGCTTTGAAAAAGATCTCTAGCTTTTTGGTGCACTTGAACCCTGCATGTAGCCAAGTCATCATTCGGTAGCCTGCCATGCTCTGCCAGTCTTGGGACTTTCAATGGACTTGAATTAATGGCCTGCAGTGTGGTTTGGTAATATCGGGACTGTGCCTTTTTATTTGTAGATCTTGGGTTTGTGAGCCTCAGCAGCCAGCAGACGCCTGAGTGAAGAAAGCCTTCAGCTTCAGTGGGCTGAGAGCCAGAGGCAGAGCTGAAACCTAAGGTCAAGGGGCTTTCACGCAACTCCTAGAGCCTGGCACTTTGAACTCTAAAACTGTAAAGGAATAAACTCCTGTTTGTTATAGCCACCCATTTATGTTATATTCCTATCAGAGCAGCACTAGGTAACCAACTATAATGAACAGCAATTTTGATCAAAATTAATAATCTATAATCTATATAAGTGTATATATAAAGGAGATGCATTAAAAGAGACTTTTAGTGAATAAAATGGTCAAGAGAAGAAAGTAATATATGTACCTCTCCATGAAATTAAAGGTAATATAATATAATGGATCACAATTTCTTTTAACATGGTTTAATATATAATCTCATTTCTGAATTTTATACATTATATATTATCTACATTTTTGCATATGGTATATACATTTTCTTAGGTTTTATAGCATTTTCTTATTAAAAACTTTTCAGGTAGAGCAAGAAGCTGATGATAATGAAGAATAAAAAATTGCTGTTCAATACAGTTGAAGAAAATGACATCCATAATCAAAATTATTTTTCAATTAATGTAAGCAAAGATTAAAATTTAAATTAATACAAATTATTCTATGTTCTACAGGAAATATTGATGAAGCAGAACAAGAGTGGAAAGCAGGATTTCATCGCTGGAACAATTACATGATGGACTGGAGAAATCAATTTAACGATTACACTAGCAAGAAAGAAAGCTGTGCAGGTCTCTAATTAATAGATTTACCCTTTATAGAATGTTCATTTTCCTGTACATCAAGGTAAAAAAATACCAGTAGCTCTGTTACACACCTAGTAAGAAAGCTATTATATAGCTGAAACAAAAATGCCAGGAGGATAATATCGATTCCTCATATCTTTCACTTAGTATTTTACCTAGCATTTCAAAAACCAAATGGCTAGAACATGTTTAATTAAATTTCGCAACATGAAGTTTGACAATTAATTATGTGCATTTTTAAATGATTTGCTGCTTCAAACTCTCCAGAACAATTTTGAGCTGTTTTTTTTCTTAATAAGTATTTTATCTGCATTTCATTTTTAGTCACATGTATATTTTATTACCACTCATAAAAAGTATCTTTGTAAAAAATGGATTAGATCTTGAAACACTAACTTACAATACCATTTACTCTAACTTATATATGAATTTATTGTCAATATGAGATATTAAAACAAAGACAGAAAGCATTTGGCTTCTTTTAATATATATATAAAGGCAAAAGTAAAACTTAAAATAAAAAGCTCAGTCATTTGGAAATACCTAATAATATAAAGAAAATGTTGTTACCAAGAGAAAAAAAAAATGTAAAAGAATGTAACTATTTCTACTATGAATTTTCAAATATGTGTATGCTTGGAATCTTCCAACCATATTTCTCCTTCTTTCAACTTTTTTACTTGCCCAAACCCCTCACACCTCTGCTTTCCTGAAACATGTATGTATGTGAATTACCCTGATTGTGACTCAGAAATAAAAATGTTGATGATAAAATTGTACCAATATGAGTGATCAACATGGTGGCACTGAGGAAGAGGAAGACAGAGAGAGGTACATGGGAGGTACAGATAACAAAGATGAATCTTTTTGCACATACAGTACTGCGTTGTCAGTGAAGACAAACATGGGTACACAGGTGGATAGATGAGTGGACAGGCTGAACTATTAAGTATGTCTATGAAGGAGCTCTGGTAGCATAGTGGCTAAAGCACTTGACTGCTAACCAGAACGCTGGCGGTTCAAACCCACCAGCCACTCCTCGGAAGAAGGTTGGGCAATCCTACTTCCGTAGTGATACTGCCTCGGAAACCCAAGGAGGGGTCGCTATGAGTCGGGGCTGACTGGACGGCACATAACAACAACAACAACAACATGAAGTGGGGAGTGTACCCAAGACCATGTATACGGTTGGCAGACAATGGTCCTATATTTGTTTGATCTATAAGAATTCCCAGGTGTATAGTAGAGCTGACAAGGGACAAGGTTGTAGTCACTTCTTGGTCACAGCCAGCTACCCAGAGTGACTGAGTAGTTAAACCGGTGGGCTCAGGACCATAGTTGCAGGGGACATCAGGCTCAATTGACATAACACACTACACAAAACATTGTTCCACCTCCTACTTTGGCGAATGGCGACTGGGATCTTAAAAGCTTGCAGGCAGCCATCTGGATGCAACAATGGGTCTCTCCTTGTCCAGAGCAAAGAAGAATGAAGAAAACCAAAGATTTATGGAAATATTTGGTCCTAGCAACTGGTACACCATGCAATCCACAGCCTACATGACTATGAGATCAGGAGAGCTAGATGGAACCCGGCTACCACTGTCAACCACTCAGAGGGAATCTATGTAGGAGATCCTGGATAGAGAGGGAGAACAATGTGGAACAAAACTCAGTCATTTGGGAAAAAAAAAAAAAAAAAAATGGGGGGGACCAGGTTTGCTGGTCTGATAGAGCCTAATGGAGCCACTGAGACTATGGCCACTGGCTGCCCTTCAGGTCTGGATTTGAACCCATACCTGTGGCTTGCAGCCAGACAAAAGACAAGCATAAGAGTTGAACATTTACCTGAGGAGGGTGCACTCCTTGGAGACAACAATCATAGGGGAAAGAAGGGCTGTTTATACACAGGGAAACAGCTTGGAGGGCAGGAGTGCATGGAGGGATGGACACAGGGAAGAGGTAACTATTGGGAGGAAGTGGGAGGGGAGCTGTTGCATTGGAGTAAATAGTAGTCAATGTCATGAAACAAAGTGTATGTGAACTGATGTATGGAAAGTGAATTTACACTGTAAATTTTCACCCAAATCACAATTAAAAAAAAAAGGTGGATGAGCAGATATCTGATATCAGAAATTATATATCCGCTGAGATGAGATAACCCTTGTTTGGGCCCAGAAAATATTAGGATTTTAATAAGAAAAGAAGAAGATAAATGATTACACTTGCTGTAGATAAAAGACATTATTTCATTGTATGATTAAAATTATATAGCTGGATTTGTTAACTTGCCTGTCAAGAGAAGGGAAACCAAACCATAGTGGTTGCTGTAAAGTCGATTCCGACTCAGAGAGACCCTAAAGGACAAGATGGGGTATCCAAGACATCTTTGCAGAAACAGACTGCCACATCTTTCTCCCAAGGTGGTTTTGGATCACCTTCCTTTTTGTTAGCAGCTGCTTGCTGAATCTATGTGTCACCAGGGCTGGGAATAGACTCATTGGTGAGTTCAGTAAAAGGAAGCAGTCAGGAGAGTTTAAGTTTAGACGAGAGGATTGCAAAGGAGTTATGCTTATTAGGCATTGAAAACTCAGGATATGACAAAATGACTCCATTGGTCTGAATACTGTTGGTTACAACACCTCTCATTGTGTATAGTCTGAAATGCTTACAGTTAAGTCCAGTATGGGTCTGACAATACAGATTCAGTAGAAGTCTCAATTATTTTCAGGTTCAGCTGGTCAGAGACAGTTGTGATAAAATCCAAGCTAGTTCTGGTATCACTTAAGTGCTTTATTAGGAGCTCTGGTAGCATGGTGCCTAAGGCATTTGACTGTGAACAGAAGGCTGGTGATTCAAACCCACCAGCCACTCCTTGGAATGAAGACTGACTGGGCAATCCACTTCTGTAGTGATATCACTTTCGAAATCCAAGAAGAGGTCACTGTGAGTCGGCTCCGACTGGACAGCAGTGAGTTTGTTTTTTTTTTTTTAAGTGCTGCTATAAATACACATTTTTGCTTTAGAGTCTATTCATCATCCTGAGATGAAGAAACTATCTCACAAAGCTTAGGAAAATTATCAAGCATTTCCTGCTTCTCCACCAACTACGTATCAGGTGCCATTCTTTCAGGATTTCCACTATCATCCACTATCAGGATTTCCTGAATCATTCGAGGTGCCTTTTGACAAAAAACTATCTAATTTGTGAACCAACAGGAATGTACTTGTGAAAAAACACTGAAGACCCTTTAAAAATACACTTGTCAAGAGCAATAATTCAGAAAATATAAGTAAACTTTGTAGAACACCTGTGCAATGCCTCATATAAGGAGTCTTAGTTATATGAACAGATCCCAAGGATGATTTTTTACCACCTTAGCCAACCAGCTGGTTTGTGCCTGATTTTACCTAGAGATTGCTTGCCTTACCCTGAAGCATTTACCTAATTGCAAGAATAAATGTTAGCCAGCACATAACCTCCCCCCCCCCGCATATTTGTTCTGTAAATAAATGAAAGTGATTGCAGCAAGTTGGGTTGAAGATTTTTTGTTTTAATACCTGATAACAGTCTATACATTTTAATTTCCCTTTAAAGGTCACCTTTCATGCAATACTCTAATTCAGGGACCTTAAGCCAAAGGAAAAAACCTGTGGCTGAAGTGATAGGAATAGTAGCCCAGACTTCTTGGAAGGTTACACTTTACTAAGCTCACAGATAAAAGAAGTCTAGATCATTTGAGATATTAGCAGTATGAAACTCAAACTCACTGCTATTGAATCAATTCTTATTCATAGCAACTCTCATAGGGTTTCCAAGGCTGTAAATCTTTACAGAAGGATTTCTTCCTCCCACATAGAAGCTGGTGGATTTGAACCACCAACCTTCTAGTTGGCAGCTACTCAAATAATTTATTATAGAAAGATCAGCATAAGGTGGAGGTTAAAGATGTCCAAATCTCCATCTTTTCCAAATTGCTGTGCCACTCCATCATCTCTAACATCAACTCTTCCGCCTCCCCTCAGTACTCTCCCTCCAGTCTTAGGGTTCTGTAGTTCACTGTAATGTGTCAAAGAACTCACAAACTGCCAAGGAAACAGTGCACGTGGTGGTAGAGGCTGGGAGGCTGGTAAGTCCCAAGTCTGTGGGTGGATAGATCTGGTGGATTCTCCCCACTTGTGTGTTTGCAGGAGCTGGTGAACATAAATCTGCAGGTCAGATGACCAGCTGCTGTTTGAAGTCCAGGGGTGAGATGATGACAAACCAAACACAGGACTGAAGCAAGAGAAAGAACTTTCCAAAATATTTACTTATGTACCCTCAAGGAAACTAAAGGTAGTGACTTGAGTCACACCCTCCAGCAATGTTGTTGTTTTTATTTGTCATCGAGTTGGACCCAACGCATAGTGACTCCTCTGTGGGTTTCCGAGGCAGTATCACTACAGAAGTAGATTGCCCATCTTCCTTCCGAGGAGTGGCTGGTGGGTTTGAACCGCCAGCCTTCTTGTTAGCTGTCAAGTGCCTTAGGCACTACACTACCAGAGTTCCTTCCAGCAAGGTAGGACTCAAGATACTTCCCACTCTAAATAGGCATAGAGATTAGGATTTACAATATATCACAAAATGGAGGAGTATGGCTAGAAAGGCCACATTATCCAATTTACTGCACTTCAGGAGCCAAATGCCTTACACTGCACTACCAGAGCGCCTTAATGTGAGTGGCATTACTTTGACATAAATACACAAAGCCATGGAAATATCACCTAATTTTGATTAAATTTTTTGGTACATCTTCCAAATGTGGGTGAGTCAATGGTGTCTCAGTTACAACAGAACAAATGTAGTTAGTTCAATTGATGCAAGGACATGCCTGTGATCAATTATTTAAGTGAATAAGTTTTATTATTTCTTTGATGTGGTACTATCAATGAGATTTTATATTATGTAAACCAAAAATTCACTGCCGTCGAGATGGACCCGACTCATAGCAAC